ACGCGAGGGGTGGGGAAGGGAGGAGGGGTATAGGTGGAGAAAAAACCCATCTTGATTTCACGGCGCCCAGGGGTTGGAAAACACTGATCTACACAATACATACAGGGAACGAGGGAGCAAAAGGTGCCTGGTCCCTTTAAGAGGGAAGCTTCCGGCGACGCTACTTCCCTCCCCCTTTTTTTGTTCCGTTGCCTAGCAAAGGGAAGGCGGAAATCGGAAGTAGCTGTTTGGCCAAATTCGGTGTGGCCACGTCGAAAGAAGGCGGGCTCCACCCATCGTCCAGCTCAACCCCCTCTCGACGCGCCGCTCTTTCGTTGAGAAAGAAGCACCGGCCGGAGCAAGAAGCGCAAGGCCCGGCGTCCAAGGCCTCCCAGTCACAAGCGGCACAGTGGCGAAGGGAAGATGTCGGACCTTGGGGACTGGTTCCGGAGCATTCCGCTTATCACCCGCTACTGGTTTGCAGGTTCCATCATGGTGCCCCTCGTCGGCAAGCTAGGCCTGATCAGCCCCGTCTACCTCTTCCTGTGGCCCGACGCCTTCATCAACCGCTTCCAGGTAGGCATCTGGACTACAGCTCCCGGCATGCACGGCGCACCCTTGCCAATAGACCGTAGAAGCAATGTTGCGCTGGGTGTGCTGGGAAGTGTAGTCAGTTCTTGAACGTGCGGGGATGGTACTCCAGCCTTGTGTACTTTTTAGCTATGGTGGAAGTGCCATGATTGACTCGGGTGGGAGGCAGCGTGCCTTGACGTTAAAAAGCAAAACTTTTTTCTTCTTCTTGAAAGAGGTTGAATGGCGCTTACCCAAGCAAGGGATACCTGTTTGTGTGACCCCGGCTCCGGGAATGGAGAGACTTAAAAAAAAAAGCACCTTTCAGAAATGGATTAATTGATTATGTGCCATCATGTCATTTGCGAATCTTAATGACCACATAGATAGATTTTCTCCATGATGATCTGCCCTAATCTGGTTTTTCAGGTCTTCCTAAGTGCGCTCATGGCTACAGTAACTGAGTCCATCCACCTTGCTGCTAGTCGACCTCTTCTTTTTCCTTCCACCTTTCCCAGCATTAGAGCCTTCTTCAGAGAGCTGGGTCTGTGCTTAATGTGTCCAAACCTGACACTCCGGTTAGGGCTAATTTCAGCCAATATGGAAACTTGGACTTTATTAGGGGACACCAATGGGATTCAGTTGCCCACTTATTTATTTATTGTGTGCTGCTCTGACATTGTGGAATTGAAGCTGGTATATATAAGGGGTTTCCAAGGTGGCTTCCCATCCAGATACGGACGAACCTTAATGTGCTTTGCTTTGCATGGATGACATTCTGGTCAGAAGATTAAGGGTCATGTGAAACTCGGGGTCACTCAACACTCCAAGCCAAAACAGTTTACTTGCTTGCTCTTGGTTTAGCATGGTGTGCAAACCTAATTATAATTTATTTATTGCGTGGTACGATCCTGTGATTGAATGATCTTTGCATGAGAGATGGAGATTGACCAAAAGTGAAGTGCTTTGTAAGGTAGCTCTGAAATTGAAAGTGGGAAATTGATGCATACTGCCCTGGTGGGAAATACCTGGTCTCAGCTGGGAGAGGCACATAACATAGCAGAGGGCTGGAAAAACTCTGTAACTAGTGCTGTACATATACTGAACTATCACACAAACCCATAAAATTACTATTTTGTGTTGGCTGCTGAAGCCAGCTTCTTGAGAGGTTCAGTTTTCTTTTTCATGATCCCTATTATTATTATTATTATTATTTTGGTAAGATAGGTGTGAAAATGTGTGTATCATGTCATTCATAGAATGAGACTGAAATAAGGCCTTTCTTGAGGATGTATGTGTGGAAAGTGTTTCCTTTTTCAGTAATCATGGAAACAGTTGAGCTGCTTTGCAGTTCCAGCCATTGCTAACAAAACGCAAACCACCTGAAATAATAAGGAATAGGAAATAAATATCATAAGAGATCAATTGAATTGTTTGATTTATCCAGGTTACAGTGCCTTTTGTCCTGTTGTGGAGCTATATTTTTAGTGCAAAGAATATAAACAGTCATTACATTTCAGAGGGGTTGCTGGGATTTTGACCAATATAGTGAAAAAATGTGGAATAATTTGAGATGGGGATGGTCAGTTAATCTCTTTTTTGAGGAGGTCAGAGTTATCTAAATCACTCTTATGGAAGATTTTATTCTTTTGTTCAAAACTCAGTGTTAGCTGCACAAAATGAGTTTTTCTTACAAATAAGAATTTAAGGAAGACATTTAATATGCTATGGAATTGCTTTTCCCCCACTGAGCCTTGTATTATTTCTTGTAATTATATGTGGATCACTTGGTATAGGACAATAGATAATAAAAATGTTCGGTTGTAGGAATTCTCTGAAGTTGCTTTTACGTTTACAGACATTTCATTAGCTGTCTAAGTAATTATGGCCCACTGCTCCAATCCTGAGCTACATATGTTCTCTGCAAGATTATAAAAGTGCTGTCTATAGATGAAAGTTGCCTTTTATGAAGATATGCAAAATATGATAGGAATTAAGGTTGTGTGATAAATCATCTTTCTTTCTGAATGGGCAGGTGTCTTTTTCCATTGCCAACTGGGTTAGTATGCTATGAAAAGCAATGGCTGGAGTGTAACATGTAGACTTCATCATTTTGGTGTGCCTGAAATAATAAGGAATAGGAAATAAATATCATAAGAGATCAATTGAATTGTTTGATTTATCCAGGTTACAGTGCCTTTTGTCCTGTTGTGGAGCTTTGCATTTTAGTGCAACCCCAGAGGAAATGCAAAGGAGAATATAGTGAAAAGATGGGTCGTTAGATGCAAGACTGCATTTCTCAAGATTGGAGGAGAAATGTGCTTCCTTACAAACATTTTATTTTGAGAGACATGCATTGTCTTAGATTATGGATGTATTTCTCTTCATGTTCTTTGCTTTTGTACTGAGAACTTAGTATACAAATGCATAGAATTGGGATAGATATACCATTCCTTTAGCATAAAGAGATAACTACTGCATAGGGAACTAGATAGGGAACTAATTGCTTTATAACATGCTCTTACTTGGTATGATGCCCTCTAAACGTGTTTGACTGTAGCTCAATCTTTGGTGGTGCAGCCATTGTCCATATTGGCCGTGGACAAGGAAAATTATCATCAAATGCATCCTAGGAGCACACTGTTAGGGAATGTTCCGAGTCCAAATGAAAACATGGTCTGCCCCTTGCGGCAAGGCTATTTATGTAGTGGCTGCCATTTGCTTGCTTAGCTGGGCTATTCTTAAAATGTGACAGACAGGAACTTCCATATAACAGGTGGAAGATTGCTAAAGTTCACATGTGACAGGCAGTTGACGACAGTCATACTAAATAGCAAGCAGAAAGCAAACATCTGTGTTATTATAAATCTATAGACTCTAGGTTAAATCTCAAAGAGACGTTCCCTGTGCTGTTGTGTTTATGTCTTATTGTTGTCAATCAGCTACTGTCTCTTTCAGGAGATTCCCTGAGCTGTCTTCCAGCATTTTGTGACCAGAGAGCATGTCCAAGTCTTATTAAATCACTTTGAGAAATTCTTCATTTAATTTTTTTTCCTTAAAGGTCCTCCCCCACCCCCCAATTGTGACCCTTATTGAAGCTTGCTGATATTTTCTTGTAGGGCTAGAGTAGTGCCTTCTACTCTGTATAAAGATCATTGCTTGCAGGATGAATTTGTTGTTGGTGGAGGAAAAGCCATTAATACAAAAAAGCTTCTGAAATTGTTCTTACAACTGTACCAGAAGACAGAAGATAATAGATGAACCAAAGTTCTTTTATCTTATCCTTTCCCAGTAAAGCATAGTTTTATTATGGTGTCCACATTGGCTCAGTGGTTTCTCTTCAGGACTGTTGAATCCTGGTGTCCTATGACCATCAGACTGATTCTGTTGTGGGCTCAATATTCTCATGGGGGGAGGGGGCTGAAAGCTTATTTTTTTCCAAATAATCCACCAGATAATCATAGGTTTAGCTTTGTTAGGATCTAGTACAATACTATCTTACCAATCGCTGTTACTGCCTGATACAAATAACTTTGGTACTATTTAAACTAGTTCTCAAATAATAATAGTTTTTGCTGTTTTTGTCTGTACAGATCTGGAGGCCAATAACTGCAACATTTTATTTCCCTGTGGGTCAAGGGACAGGCTTTCTGTACCTGTTGAACTTATACTTTTTGTATCACTATTCGTCACGTTTGGAAACAGGTAAATATACAACCACGTTATTATAATGGTCAATTCTTTTTTATCTTTGACTATGGTAAAGAAATTTGTCAGCTTACATTTTTAAGCCAGCTTGCTCAATTCACAACCAGTATGGACTTATAAAAATGTATGTAATTGTGTAAAACTGTCTGAGCAGTGAGTATACTAGAAAAAATGCATATATTAGAACAAAGTAGATGAAAGGGTGTACAGACGTTTCTGCAAGCTGAGGTAGAAAACTAGCTTAGCTGCAATCCTGTGGTCCTTGGCATGGGAGTCACTTGAATATTTAGATTTCCCCTCCAAGGCTGAGAAGACCTCAGGGAAAAATACCCCTTTCTGCCTCCTCACCTGTCTCTGCAACTGCCCTCAATTTTGGGAAGTGCAGTGTCAGAATATCCAAAAGATTGAAACGACTGTCATATACATAACCAGAGGCAGATCTCCCCCTTATCAGTGAAGAAAGGCGCTTGCCCTCCAGGGCACTGCAGGGCTCTGTGAATAAATTCTCAAAAATCTCTGCCGTAGTGTGCACTGAGCTATATTGATCTATATTTAAAATTAGTTCACTTGCTGGAGTTCTTATGCCACTGCTCTTTTGTCTTAATAAGTCCTGGTGAACAGAATTCTATGAATTTCTTCTTGGAGAAAAATTAATTTCAGTTTCAGGCAATTGGTAAAGATTTGACAGCAACAGAAGTGAAGGGGTTTGAAAGATTTTAAAATCATGTATCTTTAACTTGACCAAGTATCCTAATGGCTTATTTCCCATCATTTAGAACCAATAAATTAAAAGTGCATGTAGAGCCTTTTTCCTTTGAGATATTATGATAATTTATGACATGCTTGTTTATTACTGAATGTACGTATGTTTTAAATATAAGGGACACAAAAATTGCTTTCTGTTCTACTCCTAATAATAAATCAAAACTATTGAAGCCAACCAATTAAGAGTTGCCTTTAAATCTGGGATTTGTTTTTATGGAGTTTATTTAGAAACAAGAGCACAGAAACAATCATTCCCAGTTACAGTAATTGTGTCAAGAAATGCAGCCTTAACCAATGGAACTTTGCAAACCAGTTGTGACGTAATGCTTTTTCAAACTCAGATTGTTGCGGGAGCTGTAAAATTTGCAATATTGACTGCATTGTGAACCCTGTAGTATGTTAATTTTGTGTAATATGTGTGGGAAAATGAAAAAAGCCTTCAGCGCTATATTCATATTGTGTACCAAGACTTCACTCCCCAAATATATTGAGGTAGTAATTTAGATCTTCCTACAATAATTGGCCTTCCAGATACGCTTTCCCTGAAAATACCCTCACCAAACAGAGCAGTCTCTTGTTTCTTTCTCAGAACAAAAGTTGAAGTTGCATCCTGCAATTTAATCACAGCCTTCTGGAGGCTCCCACTGCCTCTTGGGGAAAGGGAAGAAAACAACTGCCAAGGTTTAGGTTCACAGCAATGCCATTCTTTGTTCGCAGGTGCTTTTGATGGAAGGCCTGCCGACTATGTGTTCATGCTGCTGTTTAACTGGATTTGCATAGTTGTATCCTTTCATTGATCTGCTGCCAAGGTTTGGACAGGGTTGGGTCCTGGAAAAGCATCCCCCCCCAAGGGATGCAAGATTGGTTATGGATGCTTTCGTGGCCTTAGGGAAGTCATTCCCCCCACCCCCATCCCTCTTCTGATAATCCTGACTCCACATATTTGGGTGGGAATGAGAGCTTAAGACTTGCTTAAGACTCACTGGGCAGTATTTACTCAAGCAAGATTTGAGCAGTTGGACACAATGGTTAAATATGGAAGATTTAACCAAGTCCCTTATAGTGAATGCACTTGTATTTGCAGAGCTCCAGAGATAGAAAACATAACGCATATATTATGTGAATGTCAATTGTATAAAAAAGAGAGGGATCAGTATCTTGGACCACACATTAGACGAATGACCTATTGGGATCCTTATATTAAAACAACATATTTCATGCGCAGTCAGAATTCAAAAATTACATATAGTATGGCCCTTTATTTGAACAAAACAGTACAGTTGAGATCTGCATATGTGGATCTGATTGGAGAAAACTGTAGGGTGATACAGAAATATGATTTGCATTTTTTTCTTTCTCTTTTAATTTGTTTCTCTTATCCTATTTTTAATATATGGTCTTATTAATGTCTTATGTTTTATATGTTTTATATTCTGTATCCTGATATGCCTAATGGCTAATCAGTAATAAACTGAACTGAACTCATTGGTTGTATTCACACAAAAGGGTTGTTAACAAAGCATGATTAGTATTATAATGTGCCAAATGAATAAACCATATTGTGGCTTAACAAGATAGCCCAGTTTATACAACATGCTAAGACAATGGCTGGGTTCCTGCAATACTCTGAATCTCAAAGTACCCAACTCCATTGTAGCCTACTCTTAATATATTGTTGGAACCCAACTTGGTTATTAATGAGGGAGATTTTACAGACTGAGTCAAAGCCATGTGAAGCAGATGGGTGGAGGTGCAAATACATTCAGCCAGATCAGAAGGGCTTCAATATGATAACAAGTATTAGTGTTATTTATTCTACTTGTATATAATTGAATCATTATCAATTAATAAGTATTAATTTTTGCTTAGTTTGATATTCCTTAATTAAAATTGACAGATTACTGGCTTAGTAATGAATATGCAAGTAAGTATGTCTTTCTTGGTCACACTTACCAAGTCATGCAAATCAGGTTTATTAGGAGTTTTGGTGCACATCCTTACAAATTAGTGTTAAAAATGACATAAGAAATGGCTGTTGGAGAATATGGCTACTTTCCAACATAATGGTAAAACTAGGATTTATTGTGGCCCCTTGTTCCTGCCCTTTCCTCTTGTCCTCTGGTGTGGCTGCAAGGAGACAGCTGCAAGCATTTGTTTCCATTTTGTAATGACTAATATTTAACCGTACATTCAAACCCAGACATGCTGTAGTTAGTCCTCTTGCTATAATTTACTGAAACAAGCCAACATCAAATCTTGACTTATACATGTGTTTTCAGTAAATGAAAGTTAACCCTAATCGCAGCTGAAGGTTCAGATATAGTGCTAAACTGCAATTAGTTGAAAAAAGAAAGAGAAGTTTTTAGATCCACACTGTTAGCAGTCCTCCCCCGAATCTCCTGTTTAGGTTTTAGTGTTTGCATCTTAGGGCTGATGCCTCCAGAGAGCTCTCCGCTTTATGTGGCTTTAGGTGGTTATTGGTTTCTTTAGATTTACTGGGTCACAAATTATGGAGAAATCTGCTGCAAAATATGTTTTTTTTTCCCCACAATGTTTTTGTTCCAGAATTCATTCCCTGTAATTGTATTGAGAAAGGTAGAAAAAAGATTGAACAGGACAGAGGTGTATCTGAATTGAACAGGAAGTTATTTGTAATATTTTAGTGTGAGTCTTTGTATCTGATTTAAACCATGTTGGATTCTTTGTTCTCTTATAGTTGCTGATGATCCCCCTAATCATGTCCGTACTTTATGTTTGGGCCCAGCTGAACAGAGACATGATTGTGTCATTTTGGTTTGGGACTCGGTTTAAGGTGAGTGGCTAAGTGATGGGCTTCTGGCTTCGGGAGGTTTTGCCCAAATCAAGGGAATTTCAACATCTGATTAAATAGTGGTGGCAATTCCTTCTTCAACCATTGATTCCTTCCAGATTTTTGAGAAGTCTGGCATTTATATATCTGACATCTGTGTGATCTTCTCCTTCTTCACAGTGTTCCAGATAACGGTTCCTTAATGGAAGGGAAATTATTCAACTAGCTGCAGGACAGTTCAATAAGTAGGAAGGAGATTTCATGAACAGAAGTTTGTCCCAAGTGTAACAGTTAATGAATTTTAGAACAAAGTGGTTATGGAGACTTTGCTGTATTCTGCAGATGAGACTACATGCAATTCAAATGTTAAAAGTAACTGTCATTTGCAATGTCTAAGAAACATTTTAAAGACTCAGAAGTTAACATTGGAGGCTACTCCACTGCATTTTTGCTTCACCTAGTGGAACATCCTCTTGCATTATTTTTTCTACTGTTTAGGGTTATGCAGAGATCTGGATTCAAAGAGCAAAATATAATTTGGAGCGTAGGTGGGTGTACATGTGACACTTGTCGGGTTTATCTTACACATGTTTTTTCTTAGGATTGTGTGTGAGTTGTGGAGGGCAATGGTGCAGCCATTGCCGTTGTAATTGAGTCCATCCCCCTTGCTGCTGGTTGTCCACTTCTTTTCTTTCCTTCCACCTTTTCCAGCATTAGAGCTGTCTCCAGAAAGCTGGGTCTTCACATAATGTGTCCAAAGTATGATAATTTGAGCCTGGCCATTTGTGTCTTGAGTGAGAACTCTAGGCTGATTTATTCAGTGATCTGTTTGTTTGTTTTCTTGGCTGTCCATGGTATTCTCAGGAGTCTTCTCTAAGACCTGAATTCAAAAACATCAATACTTTTAGTATCCTGCTTCTTCAAAGCCCAACTTTGGTTTCCATAGAGTGTCACAGAGAAAATATTGTCTGCATGATTCTGATCCTTGTAGGTATAAAAACATCCTGGCATCTGAATATATTTCCAAGCCCTTCATTGCTACTCTACCAAGTGCTAGTCTGTGGCGTATTTCTTGACAGCTGGTTCCTCTCCTGTTGATAGTCAAGCCTAAAACACAGAAGCTATCTACCATTTTATTGTCAGTTCTAAGGCTGGTTGTCATGAGCTTGGTCTTCTTTAGATTTCATCTTTAGCCCCGTTTTTATTACTGTGTTCCTTGACTTTCATTACTAGAGCTTGCAAATTATTTGCATTTTCAGCTGTCACAGTAGTGTCATCAGCATAGCACAGGTGACTGATGTTTCTTCCTCCAGTTTGCCCTTCAAATCCAGAACTCTGCATAGACCTTTTACTGTTTTGCTACCCTTTATACCTGTTCAGTACATGTTAAAATGCAGTTAAAATGAATGTCTTCCTTCCAACCTAGTACTTTATAGGATCATCAATTCAGTTCCCTGACTAAATAGCTGAGAAAACATGGAAGTCTGGGATGGAATAACATAATAGCATGTTCGTTCAACATGCTAAGCGTGGCTTAGTGTTAACCATAGCAAATGAAATGTAGCAAACTAATGCTAGTGCCATTTGGATAGTAGGAGAGTCTATATCCTAACCACAATCTTTTTGGTGGCAGCTCCACCAGCATTTCCTTGTTAGAAAAAGGGCCCAGTCAAGTTCAGGATCTTAGTATACGAGGCAGAAGGATAATTTTGTCCTTTGAGTTCTTTATGATGAACATATATATGTTGTTGTTCTCCTAGGCATGCTATCTGCCATGGGTTATCCTAGGATTCAACTATATCATTGGAGGCTCGTAAGTATCGCCAGATACTTTGTGTGTGCTTTATTTATTTGTTTGATTGATTCTCCAGATACTTTGTGTGAGCGTTATTTATTTGATTGATTGATTGATTGATATGGCCACACATGTCACTGTTGTAACTCTGGGCAGCTGACAGCATTTAAAATCAAAATACAGGTAACATAAAACTACAGTACTGTAATAGTGACCAAGGTAGAATTTGCCACAAATCAACAACCTAATGGCCTCCAATCAACAGTCCGACCTGCATGCCCAGGGATAGAACCAAATCTTCAAGGCTTTGTGAGCTGGGATAAATGCCGGGCCCGTCTTGGGAAGGACACCATCAACACTGTTCAGATTCAGTTGTATCAATGTTGTGACTTCCTGATAATATCTGTGTTAGTGACTTAGCAGAGGCAGGTTGTCACAGCAAGACCCACGTCTATGGAGAAAGAGTCTGGCTTAGAATGAATGGCACTCTTAGCCTTACCTTCTTCATTCTTAAAGAAGGCAAATCTTTGACCAGCCTTTGTCAATGTAAGCTTGGTTCAGATTCACTCATTGTAACACAGAGAGTCTTCAACCTGCCCCGGTCATACAGACTGCAAAAGTAAGGGTAGTCCCAAGAGTAGGTACTGAACTGGTCAGTTTTGAACTGTGGAGAGTTGAGCTGATCCCCCAGTTGGCTTGGCAGGACCAGCTCAGAAGTGTATCGTTCCTTCAGCACAAGAGAGACCAAAGTTAAGGTTCATGGCCAGCCGTTGAGAACTGAGAAAGTGATTGATGCCCAAAGCAACATTAACCTTGTCCACCCCGCAGAAGGATTAACAGGCTCAGAGTTCAGTAAGGTAATAAATCTCATTGGCTGGTTGCTCCTGTCAGTCAAAGAGCCTATTCCAACATTCAACCCACTCAGGATTCTCCCTGCAGGAACTGAAATTGCAACATTGCATATTGTCTGTAACAATCCCAGAAACTCTGGAAAAGCCCTAGAATCTGTTCTGAAATCTCCAGATAGATTGGAAGCCATCTGATTCGTTCTGTTGATCCAGATCTGCTCTCCCTGTTGATCTGAGAATGCCTTTTGAAGGGGTGATTGAAACAATCCTTCACTGAATCAACTCTCTGCACCCAGGTTTTGCATAGCACTGGCTCCTAAATTTTGGCAGCTCAATTCTGGAGGGCTTCTGAAATTGAAAATATGGCTGGGAGGTGGCATGAAGTTGATTAGTTGCTGCTCTGCTTAGTCATTTCTGCTCTATGCAGGGACTATTAAAGCTACTAAGTTGTGTATTTGTATACTGAGTCAACTCTGTTAAGAGTCTCCGGTTTCAGCTTCCAATGATGAAGTTCCCTAAGGAAAGCCAACTCAACATCCTTGCGACCCTTCTGAAATTTTAGTCCAGTACTAAAAATTCTGGAATCTACCTTCCGTTATTCCTATTACTTTTTTTTCCAGTGGCACTCTACTTTCTGTGTGCATAGCTGGGAGAAAGATTGATACTTAAGTGACCATTGATACTTAGAATATATTGGAGTTATAATAGTCTTCCATAATTAGAAACTGTACTGTCTCAAGGCCTTCAGAAGTAGAACTCAAATAGATTGCAGTTGGTGATGGAGATTGTGACTTTATCATTCCTAGATTTGAGATGTATTTTTATGGCAATTGCTTTTTAAATTCAGTGTTTAATCCATTAGCACTATCTTCCCCACAAGTTTGCAAAAGTGTGTCTTTTCAAAAATGTTTGCAGACAGTGTGCAACGTTTGGATGGCTTGTCTGGGTTATATTCAGTCTTAGCAGCCATCAAGCTCTTAACAGTACAATCCCATATATATTGTCTACTTAGAAAATGGCCCCATTAAGACATTTTCAAATTGTTAATAGAAAATGCTTCAGTCATTAATTTTTAACGATTTAAAATCATCACAGCATTTTAAATGCTTTTTTCTATCATCCTACAGTATCGTCAACGAACTGATCGGCAATTTGGTTGGTCATCTGTACTTTTTCTTAATGTTTAAATATCCAATGGATTTGGGAGGAAGAAATTTTCTGTCAACACCTCAGTTTCTGTAAGTTGGTTTTTTTATCCTTTTTTTTTTGGTAAAAAAATCAGGCTTGAACACTTTGGAATATTGAGGCGTTACTCTAATTAAAGTTGAAATAAAAAGTACAATGACACTAATGAGACCCATGCACATTTTTCCAGATGGATGGATGCCTAACTAGGTCAGTTGCTGCATTTCATTCATGTTTTATCTCTAAGATAGACAAATAAGGAAATGTTGATTCAGTCAGTGTTAGAAGCTCCCAAATGCAGGACTTGTTCACTTCCTCTTTTATTTTCCCGAAACGTTGCTGTCCAGTGATAATGGCAGCAGGCTCCAGGATCTGTCTGTCCCCCATTATGGGCCTCTGCTTAAATTTGTCCATCACATCAATGTACAACCTGTTACTACTTGGACCTGGTTAAGGGTTGGGAGACCACCAGGAAATCTTATCACTGGAGGCTAGACTGGGACATTTTTAAAAATTATATATATGTATACGTATATGTATATTTCTATATGCCTTCCGTATTATTGCCAAGATAAATATATTGTCAGGTCCATGTAGTGCTTGACTCCAGGAAGAATTTACCTTTACAACTAACCTGCGCCTTTCTAATTTAAATGAAAAAGCATTGCATGAATAAGAATCCTTGCAGAGGCCTCTCTTCCCGTTCTCCTTCCAAATGAGCTATAATGACTGCTCTTCTTCCTGAAGCAAGAGAAGAGACCCGAAGGATGAGGCTTGGCTCAGGTGTTGGGGCTTCCTGTCCATGAATCTGTTGTGACCTGGAGTATCCAAGGGCAATGTTTGGGGTGCACTCTGGCTTTTTTGTTTCCTGTCCCAGCTATAAAAAAAATTTTCTGCAGGAAAATTACCTGTGTCCTTGTGACAAATGGGAGCCTGTACGTCCGATCCTGTGAGGTAGGGCCAGGCCACTAGATGCTTTTTTTAATCACCTATTTTAGAGATAGATGTGGTGTCACACCAATGTGTTTATGGTAATTAGTAATCTCCGCCTCAACACACAAGAATCATCTGACGCATGGGTAAGAACACTCCCACCAGGCTAAGCAGGAAAGCAAAATCCACTCATTTCCAGTTTGAATCAATAAGGGGGAGGAGAACTGGAGATAGTTTTTAAAATAAAATTAAGTTTAATTAGCTAAGAATGCGAGGAACCTTCATCTTTAAGGATGTATGACCTGTTCCGCAGCCAAGGGAAGCTTTCTGGGAGTAAAAACCAGGTTGAGACTATATTTTTCACTGGCTGTTGGAAAACAAGTAGTAAATAGACAGCAGACACAGAATTCAAGAGTTGCGTGAACTGAGAGCTACAGGGAAGAGCAGGGAGAGTTGGATGTAAACCCAAAGGTGAGATACATCTCTGGCCAAAGACACACACTGATATTTAGCCACACCGTGTAATGTTTACAAAATACTGCCCATGCTTTCTGGGATCTTTACCTGCCTTAGAAGCCCTGATGAGCATTTTTGCAGTAATGGCCTCCATGTCACTCTGATTTAAGCTGGAAAGCCTTTTAAGTTTAACATTAGCTTGATTTTCATCAAGCCACGGAGAGCAGCCCTCTGCTTTTTCCCAGAATTTAGGTAGAGTTTAAACTGGTGCCAATGCTTTCCTTAATCCCATTATTCTAAAGCAGTGTTTCTCAACCTTGGCAGCTTGAAGTCCACACGTCTTCAAGCTGCTAAGGTTGAGAAACGCTGATCTAAATGTTTTCAATTGCTTTGTACCGAAACTCCAGCCCGGTTCAGCCCTTCTTGCTTCTTTAGCTTCAGTCTCTACTGAACTCTTGTTCAGCTGCTAGAGCAGAGTGGGTGCTAGGGCGGTCTTCTGAATTCCTTCTTCTCTTGACCCGCAGGTACAACTGGCTGCCTAACAGAAGAGGAGGGGTGTCTGGATTTGGAGTTCCCCCAGCCAGTATGCGAAGACCTGCAGATAATCGCCAGGGAGACACGAGACACAACTGGGGCCAGGGCTTTCGGCTAGGTGATCAATGAAAAAAAAACTTCTTGCTTTTCTTTCTTTTTCCTGTGAGGAACATCTTCGACAATACATGGGAATGTTTCTTGCTGTGGAGTGTATTCGAGGACCAGGTTTGCTCTAGTGCTGTTGACGCTGACCCATTATGAATTCTTGTTTGTTCCTGGTGGAAGACAACATGACTGAAGGGACAGGATAGATTTTATTCCAGGCCATTAACATGTTTAACTCACTGCTGCCATTAAAAAAAGGAAACACACAGTTCTAAGGGTGTCCAATACAGTGTACTTTCTATTACTGGTCTCTTAAGTTAATTCATGCTTATCCATCGGTTTTGTAGGCCTCACCTTATGTAAGAGCCCTACAAAATCCATTGTGTGGTCAAAAAGTTGTCTGAAACTGCTCTTCCTCCAGTTTGAATTAATAAGAGTTCAAGTCCACAGTAATGCTAAAAAAAACAAAAACAAAAAACCACTTCAGGTATCCACAGTTGCATTTCTCTTTATTTAGTCGGAAGCAACTTAAAAAAAAAATCTCTATGAGTGACAAGTACTGCTTAACTAATTCAGATTTGATTGGTAATGAATTCTACCTGGAGCAATCAAAGAAAGGAAGGAAGGGTTGACTGGAGAATGCTAGCTTTTAATTTGCAAGCTTACTGCAACCTCTGTACTCCCAGCATAGCAAATGTGGTGCATTTTAAATGCCCAGTTCTGTGTGCACTGACTTCGGAGCAAGTCCTATTGATCCTGATTTTGATGGGGTTTAATCCTATGCATATTTACTTGGAAGTGAGAAAAAATGTGCTCTGTTGCCTCAAATGTGTAACAATGGCTTTGGTGTATGTATCTTGGCATGAAGGACTGGAGAACGCTTCTCTTGCACAAGAGTGTGAGAGGACGGTCTGAATGCAGAAAGATCTGTTGAGCAGTTAATGTAGAATACCTTTTTACAGAACGGAAAAAACAACAGGAATCAGACAGTTGAGCTTAATAAAACAGATGCTAACTTCCTCCAGCATTTTTCATTTTTGAATGAGCACATAAATATGTAGTAATCTTTGATGGAAGATGATTAGTTGTCATGTAAGAAACTCGGGTAATGTCATAACACATGTGGAGCTACTGACAGGGTGATGTTGGAGAACGTTGCCAGATGTGCTGTGATGGGAGAATCATACTCCCCTTTGTTTTTTTAAATGATTGGCCTTCTCTAGAACTGATTGAGTTGCTTTGACTTAATGTTAGACAACAAGACCCACTATGAAAATCCAAGGAGCGTTACAGCATCTTGTCCCCCATCCCCTTATTACACAAGCATAATTGTCTACAGTCCACCTCTAAAATAGGGGTACAAATGAACGTTCATTCAGCTCTGCTAGGAAATGATGTCTCCAAAAAATGGGAAGTGCTATATTCATAATTATGAATGCTTTATTTGCCACTCGCAATTTCTCCATACTCTGCAGGCTCTTCCAAATCAGTGACTGGTTTGGTAAACTGGGACGATGGAGTGATTTTACGGTTGTCTGCAATGAGTTCACAATCCCTTTATAGTCTCTGAGGAAAGCAGACCCTTGTGATTATGTTTCCAATAGTGCAGTAATATGTAGATAAAAGACTTATTAAGCACCAATTTCTTGGTACTTTATCACTCTTGCCTTGGTTTTTATTTATATCTAATAAGATGACAGAAGACCCAGATAATGCTACTTGTCACTACTTCTGGTTTTTTTTTTTTTTTTTAATGTAGGAACAGAGTTTTCTGAATGTCATTGGGTAGTATCTGTGGTTCTATGAGTTGTCATCCAAAAGAGGAAAAATACAAAGAGGACAGAATGATGTGCAGACCTCAAACGTTGATTGCTCAGATCCTACTGCCAAAGAACCAAGCAACTGTTTTAAATAAACTTTTTTTGGGTGTTGCTATGCAAATTAGAAAGCAGTTGTGGGCTTGTATAGCTTTTTTTTCGTCATTTAATGCTGTTGCTTTAGATGTTAACGGAAGAAACATACGGTTGAAATTATTTTGGTCAAACCTGGCCTATTTGTAAAGCAAAAACTCAGCTGTACGATCTAGAATGCATGGCAGGCAAAACCCAGGACAAATCCATTGCTGCGTTTCGAGGAAAAAAATATTGGTCGACTCGCACAAAGCTAAGTTTCTCACACATGCTGCATCTTCGCAGCTTTAAGAACATGGTTATATATTAAAGGCTGGTGGTTGCTTCCTTATGTAGGTGATTAATGGGATTGTATATGTCATCTTTCTAAATAAAAAAGTGGAAGGAGAAGTCTAGTTTAGAACAGTTGCCCCAGTCATGCTGGTATTTTACTGATAGAAATCCTTTGCCTTCGGAGGAGGAAAAAAACAATCTCCAAATGAAATTTTCCCCCTGTTGGAAAGAGTTATTCTGATAGTTCTTCAGAATGGTATGGCTTGGATTTGAATGAAGGATCCTTCACCTGGACCCTTCTGTCAGATCCCTACGGAGGCATGTTTCTTCTGGAGAACTACAAGGGTGTAGCCATTAAAGCCAGCATGAGTGGCTTCTTCCATGAAGCACGGCACTCAAATAAACAAATAAATCATTGTTTCTCTTGTCTTCCCAGCATTGCTCACTGCCAAAGAGCCAGAGTGGGTTATGATGAACAGAACAGCAACTTAGCTCTTCCAATTTTGGGGAACGGTTCATGCCAATCTACATTCCTTGGTTGCAGGAACTTAAGAGATCAATTCCTAATGTAGGAGTTCCAGCCTTACAAGCATAAAGAAGAAGGAAATGGGGGCAAAGTTTGCTCGTTTATCTCTGAACAACTTCAGGTATTCAAGGACAGATAGATAACCTGCTACCTTGTAGCAGGTTATTCTGTATGTGGGAATGCCTTGATAGCGAGTTGAGCTGTATGTGCAACTTGCAGTGGTTCAGGTGGGCGAGGGAAGGCAGTCCGTTCTATCCTCAGAATTGGATTTGGCTCTTTGCATCTCCACATCAACACTTCTGTGCACATGGAAATCCTATCTTTTAAGGAGGGAGCATCTCTCTACATTTTTCTTGATATGCTGGTTTTCCAGGAGCAGTTGTTTCATTCAAAAAGTGGTCTGCAACAGTCACATCATATTGCTTTCCTAAATGTAATTCACTCTTACGACCCTTCAGCATTGCTTTGTTCACCTGAAGCACTTTACCCCCGGTTTTAAGTTGATACTGTCAAGGGCAGATTCTGTTGCGAAACAGGTACCTCTATTCTTTTGTATAGACAACTTCTCTTTTTGTAACTAAATTCTTTTTTGTTCTTGTCATGGGTAAAGTTTTAAATTAAAGCTGTAAAACTATATCTGGTTGTTTGTTTATTTTGGTTTTGTATCCCTTTATATTACCATGTTGTGATTTTAAGAGAGTTTTGAACCCACCATAGGGTCCTTAAACAGTAGAACAGGCATTTTATCGGCCAGGAGAACATTAGCACTCTACTTTTCCACTAAATCGTACAGTAGTTCCGCCAGATAGCACAGTATTTGTGGACTAAGTTGTAATTGGTTGTCTGAGGGTGCGAAACATGTGCCTCTCCAGAAGTTGCTGAAGTGTAACTGGTTTCTTCTCCAGTCTTCTAGAAAGGTTTTGAGCAATTCTGCCCTATCTTCTACAAAACCTTCAGATATTTCAAGACAGGGCTATCGTGCCCCCTGCAGTTACTCCAGGCTAATATACTCAACACTTCCAACCACTTCCCATCATCTTTTCCTTCCAGGCCCTTTAATATTTTGGATGTTCTCCTCTGGAAATGCATCAGTTTGCCAAGGGCCTTCCTAAATGCAGTGCCCGGAACAAGATGCCATATTCTAGGTGTGGTCTAATGCAGACTAAAGAGGAACAATTACTTAAATCATAGCACCTGTCTCTTCCCCAGGTAAATTTCTCTTACATTGTCAGGGTCATTTTGTTTCCACCCAAATTCTCAAACATACCAGACGGTTAATGCTGGATAATTGAGTTGTCCATGTGTTACACAGAACCCTTAGCCAACTTGGCATCTTCTAGAGGAGCTGGACTAATTCTGAAATACAAGTTACTACTTTAAAGAAAGAGGCAAGAGGAAAACCTTACCAAAAACATTGTTTTACTGAGTTACAACAAACAAGCAAATGTTAGAAAAGTGTCTTTTTAATTAAAATCTCTAGCATTTAAGTTTAAGCAGGGTATATTGGAGGGAAATGGAACAGTCTCTCCAAACCATGCGAAAGTCACCTATCCTTTTATCAAAGAGAGGCTGCAATTCAGTATTTCTCCCTCTCTTCTCAGCAGTTACTGAAGAATAAAAGTGCACTCAGAGACATAGAAACAAGCTAAAAACTCACCAACAAAAAAATCTTAAGTTCAGGTATAAAGCTTGAGCCCTCTGTTGCAAACTCTTTTTGTTTTTAAGATTGTACTACCAGTAGTAGAAAAGCACTTGGAGCAAGCAACAGCCCTGCACGCTTGACATCTCTCGTGCTCTGGGTCCAGCTGTTTGGCAAATGGTGAGTTACAGGATTCATTAACAGAGCTGTTCTCCCAATGTGACGAAGATTAGTTTTCATGCAAAGGGAAGGATGGCCAACAGCAAACGTGTAAAATGTGCAGGAAAAGCAAACGTGTAAAATGTGTGAGATGAATACAAATGAATGGTTTGTGTGGGACAAGCAGATGTGCAAAACGTGAGGAGATGAATACAATTTCCACTGAAACGGTGGTGGTTGTTATAATCCATCAAGTCACCCTGGCTCTGGTGACTGTAGGAACAAGTCCAGGCAGTTTTCTTGGCAACGTTTTTCAGAAGTGGTTTGCCATTGCCTTCTTCCTAGGGTTGAGAGAGAGGGACTGGCCCAAAGTCACCCAGCTGGCTTCGTGCCTCAGGTGGGACTAGAACTCACTGTCCCCTGGCTTCTAATCCAACACCTGTTAGCCACTGCACCAAACTTAGAGTAGTTTTTAGTGGTAGAAATGAATGCAGTAGGCCAAAAAGTTTACAAATTATCACAAGGATAGATACAGGGACTACCAATTTGTAGCAAACTAATTGGATGAAGCATTGCTTTTAAGACAGCAGTGATCTGTTGTGTTTAACAAAAAAGATAGCCATAAATCTCTGCAGTGTAAGTATAAAAAAAAGTCAACAAGAAATGGAGAAAGCCACACACTACAGGGAAAGCTTATATACAAGGGCCTCATTTTTTTAAAAAAATCCCCCAAGTGGGACTTTGGCACCATGAAACTTCTCCAAACCAGAGATGATCTCTTCCTCCACCATGACTGTGATTCTGGAGTCCAAACGTGACTATCCTATTTCCGAAGACCTTACTTGATCCCAGGATTAGTAACCATGTGCTCTCACGAGAGTCAAAAGATGGGACTAGAAAGCTGAATGAAGTGCCTATGAATGAGAAAAAGCAAACCCTTAGCCAGAGGTTATAGCATGCTGGAAGGTTGGTTTCCAGCCTAATTTTAATATGCAAGGAGGGCAGTCTACAAACACGTTATATTCCAGGTACTTTATGAAATGGAACAGACCCAGGTAGTTCATCAGGGAGACTTAGCACGTTCTCCAAGATTGGAGCCGCACTCTTTCTTGGCATGCAAATGGGCTCCATTCCATTTATTCAAATTCTTAACACATTTTTATTGCACTTTTATTGCAATGTAACGGAAAGTACAGAAAAAGAGTAAGAAACCGCAAGCCAAAGAAGTTAAAGATATGAGGTAGGAAAAAGGAAAAGGAAATGTTACCAAAAGTAGTTCACACCAATGCCAGTCAGTAAGCTACTCAACACCTTTTATTCTTGCAAATCATCCCTGCTTCCACCACATCCAGGTATGGCTTCCTACACTGTCTGTGATTCATTAAACTTCCCACCTCCCTCATTCTGAGGATCTCACCAACTTCATCCAATCTTGACTTTCTCAGTCTTCTTCCTCTCGACCCATTCACTCTTCCTTCATATGGTGATTTGGCAATTCAATCCTTATTCATTCTCTCCACAACCCTTCAATGGACTTCTTTTGGTCTGTCACTTGTTTTTGCGTTGAATCCACTTTCCTTCAGAACCCTTTCAGAGGCATCAGCAGAATCTAATGGATTTTCATCATTTGTCAGAATGATGAAATGAGCATTGCAAACTAAGCTCCACCCCTTATGTATATGATGTGTGAAATGTCATGACACACATACAGAAAGGGTGCGTGGATGAGCACAATGGTAACAAGGGTGTGTGGATGACCACAATCTTCCCTGAAACTCCTCTCCATTTCTTTCAGTATCAATGTCCTCTGGAACCTAACCCGCAACTATTGGCAACCTATGAAATCCTACCTGGATATGCACCCACGACTACTTAGATGAAACCAATTCATACTTTCAGAGTCAGGTTTACCTATATCTTCAGAAGTGGTCTGCCCTTGCTTTCTTCCTGGGGCTGAGAGAGAGGGGGTGGCCTACAGTCATTCAGCTGGCTTCATGCCTAAGGTGGGGCTAGAACTCCACTAGAAGTCTTTCAGATTCTAGCCTGGTGCATTTAACCAGTACACCAAACTGGCTCTCAGTCATCCTGATTAGCTATCTCTAAGTTTATTGACTTATTCAGTCAATTTCTACAACCACCCTCTTGACAAATGTCTCAGGGTGTCATACAATGAAAACAACAATGCTAGAAAAATATACAAATAATAATAAAATAGAAAAAGCATAAAACAAGCTGGAGGCATTCAACAACTGAAACACTCAACCCAGATGGGTTCACCAATCCTCCTGACCCAGTGCCTGGGGGAAAAAACAGGTCTTCAAGGCTTTGCAAAAGGCAGGCAGGGCCAGTACTGTCTGAGTCATGGGAGGAACACTATTCCATAGGGCAAGTGCAGTGGCAGAGAAAACACACCTCCTGGGTCCCATAAGATGTGATTGCTTAAGAGACGGGACCCAGAGCACGCCATGCCTGTCAGATCTTACTGAATGGGCAACAATAATTAGAGATAGGTCGTTCTGCAAGTAACAAGGCCCTGAGACATGAAGGACTTTAAAAGTGATAACCGGCCCTTTGAATTGCACCTAGAAGCCAACTGGTAACCAGAGCAGCTTACGAAATAGTGGCATTATATGGACATATTGAGGTGCACCCACAACTATTAGCACTATGGCATTCTGATCAACTGTAGCTTCTGTGTGGTCTTTAAAGGCAGTCCCATAGAGATCGCATTGCATTAATCCAGAACCAAAATATTCTCTACCCCTTCTGTTTACTGTTTCCTGGCAGGTGGATGCACACACGCTCACAGCCACCCACAATTTTAATTTTCTAAGGCTGGTTCTGGAGCATATGTGAAGCCCCCAGGTATTTTTGGAAACGAAAATAATGCTGGAGGCAACATACTTTGTAGTCTGCAAAGAGTTTTCATTCTATCAGCAGACAGCGGCATTAGATATAACTAATGCATTTTTTAAATGTCCGTTTGGCATTAAAGTATCCTTCTTCAAAAGACTTTTTAAAAAGTGCAAGATGTGTAATCATTCTGATTTACAAATATTACAGTACAATCAATCCCCCATCTGATTGACAGAACTGAATGAGGTCAGTAAGTTTAAAAGTTGTTAATTCTATACTGGAATGTGGTTTAAAGCACATCTTTAAATGATTGTAAGAATGCCAGAGTTTTTTCCCCACTAGAGGGCACATGGTTGGATCTTCAATAGGAAGGTTAAAACATGAATGAAAGAGCAGAGGAAGAAAAGGAACAGCACACGTGGACGGAATAAAAAAACTCCTTGGATTTCTAGTACTGTTTTTGTCTTTAATCCATTAAGATCAATTGATCTTAAACATCAAAGGCTACTGTTGTCCTTTCTCCTGAATATATGAAACAGATGGAATTATTTTGGAATTATTTTTCTCTAGTAAGAAGCCAAATATAAGATTCCAACAGAAGAGAACACAGTATATGTACCATAGGGTTGAACTGTGGAATTCTGGGTGCTCTCTGAGCTTGGTTGGGGTATAAAACATGACTGGTTGTCAGTTTAAGTGGCTTGGGTTGACACTGAAAACCCTATATGGCTCAGTCACTGATTGGATCCTATGTTGTAACTTTGAGTTTTCCAGAAGTGTAGAATTAGACATTCAAGACTGGCTTACATCACTGAAGATACTTCTCTGTCACACTGATGATGTTACCTAGCTGAGTAACGAAATGTCTGCAAGCAAACGACCAAGCTCAGAGACCACCAAGAATTCCACAAATACATGAATACACATCTATTTATTTATTTATTATAAATAAATAAATAAATTTATAGGTTGCATATCCCAAGAGCTCGAGGAAGCTTACCTAGCATTACTGGTGTTTGCACTGATACCCAAATGATGACAAGCATGCAGTGATACAGTCATGCAAATGCCACCATCATAGACCTGCATCAGGATGTCTGATGCAAATACGTAAATTATGGGATTTGCATGATATCACTGTGTATGTGTCATATTTGCCACCTTTTCCTGTAGGGCCATTCTGTAATGATATGTGGGAATGACCTTGGGAGATAGGGTGAAGAGACGCAGCCAAAGGAATGGCCATCAACTTAGCTCACAGCAGGAACGTGGGTGGGGCAGGTGGTTCAGAAGAGACCCTCCCTAGTTTCTTGGTCTGTAAAGGGGATGGGGGGGGGAGAGATATCCTTTCAGACTTGTAAGATTGATGTCAGCCTGGCAAGGTAGACCAGACTGGAAACATGGCCAAATGAGCCAATTCTACTTTATTGTACATTAACAGAATCTTGAAAGTCTGAAAGGATATCTCTCCCCCTCGTCCCCTTTACAGACCAAGAAACTAGGGTCTCTTTTGAGCTGCTTGCCCCATCCATATTCCTGCTGAGGGCTCAGCTGCCTTTTATCTGGCCGTTCCTTGGCTGTGTCTCTTTGCCCTGTCTCCCAAGGTCATTCCCACATACCGTTACACATTCCCTCTTCCTATTTTTCCCACAACCCTGTGAGTTAGGCTGGGCTGAGCAAGAGTGACTGGCCCAAAGTCCCTCAGTGAGCCTCCTGGTTGAGAGTATCTAGGTTCCCTGGGTCAGTTGTAGCCTAACACCTCAATCACTACAACATCCTGCAGTTTTGAATTCAGATTTGATCTCATCTTCATGTTGTTCTGAAGTCACTTCTTGGGACAATTACTTTTGGCACTTTTATGTCAAATTATATTTTGATAATCCAATACTTAAAGAGGGTTCCATGTGATGGAAATGGGTATTTTTAACAACCATTTCCAACCAGTATAGGGTAGTAGTTGAACTGCTGGACTAGAAGCCAAGAAACAAAGATTGAGGTCCACATTCAACCAGGAAATTTTGCTGGTCACAATCTTTCATCATTCACTTTCCATCAACCTTGCAGGATTGATACTGTGGGATGGGGTTCCTCAACCTCAGCAACTTGAAGATGTGTGGACTTCAACTCCCTGAATTTCCTAGCCAGCCTTGCTGGCTGAGGAATTCTGGGAGTTGAAGTCCACACATCTTCAAGTCGCCAAGGTTGAGGAACCCTGCTGTAGGAGCAGATAGGCAAGATAGAAAGGGAATCAATTACAACAACCTAAGAAAAGCCCTGCTGGATTAGGTTTCTGTTGTCCAGCTTTCGATAGCCAATCAGATGCATTTAGGAAACTCATAAGCATGTCAGAAGGGTAAAAGCTCACTGTCGCCCCCTTCCTGGGTGTCTATGGCATGGTGCTGAAGATTCTGGAAGCAATCCACAGCCATCAAGACTAGCACCACTGATCCTCCATGCGTGTGTTCAGTCCCCTTCTAATGTGACCCATCATCATATCTGATGGCACCTAACTCCATATGTTCAGCCATATGCTACATAACCGAGTATTTCTTTTTACCTGTCCTGAACTCAATGTATTTAATGAATACTACATGGGAGAGGAAGAAAACCTATTCATGTTTTCCAAATGGAGGAGGAGGAGGAGGAGGAGAAGGAGGAGAACAACTAAGCACAGAACATAATTTTGCACTTCTGGAACAAAAGCAGGATATCAGTCTAACCATTTTGTGTGACAGTAATGTATCTTACTGGTTCTAGAGAGAGAGCCAGTTAGTCTTTTGTGGACAGACAACGCTGTTGTGGCAGTTTGAACACTAACCCAACTGTTGCAAGAACAAAATGAAAAAGATAAAGTGCTTTTTTTATTAAGACTGAAATCTTACAACCTCTGCAAGGAAGTTTCAGGGATTAAAGGAAATAAATGTCTTACTGCAAGCCCAGAGAAATCTGTCTTCAAAGATGTAAGCCAGTCTTGAATGGCTAATTCCATACTTCTGGAAAACTCCTCAAAGTTACAGTATAGGATGTAGTCAGTGGCTTTGAACCATATAGGGTTTCAATGTCAATTCCAGGAACTTAAATTATGCTGGCAGGCAACTGACCACCAATGCACATCTTTCAGAATGGCCATCGTATGATCCCTATGCCTTGCATTGGTTAACAGCCTAGCCACCATATTTTTTTCCCATCAGTTGCAATCCCTGAATGCTTTTTAAGGGCAACCCCATGTAAAGACTACTGCAATAGTCAAGACAGGATGTAGCATCCGGATGGCTCAGGAAGGGTCACAGCTGGCTCACTAGTCGTGGTGGTGCAAATATGCTTCTCACCACAGCGGTCATCTGCAAACCCAATGAATCTTCTGAGAGAATGCAACCCATCCAAAGTCCACATCCAACTTTCTCCCAGCAACAGTATCTTGTCTGGATTTAGTATCAGCTTGTTTTCCTCATCTGAACCGTTATCAAATTGAAGCAACATTCAAGGGTGCAAACTGCTAATGGTAAGGAGCAACAGAGCTTCAGGAGCATGTTGGTGGTACTTCATCCTATTGCTGCTGGTGATTATATCCAGTGGTTGGTTTCACGTAGATGTTAAATGGCTTAGGGACAAGATAGAGCCTTATGGGACAACATGGGTCAATAACCTAGTGCTGACAGTAATTCCTCAACAGCATCTTCTGGGTGCATCAAAACAAGAGGGCCCTAATATCCAACCTCCCCAAATAGTTCCCAGAAGGATACAAAGGTTGGGGTAAAACTGAGAAACCCAGGAGAACCAACAGAGTTGTGCTCTCTCTCCATCTAGTTTCTGGCTTAGGTCATCCACCAGGGTGACCAAAGCAGCCGCAATACCATATCCTGGGTGAAATCCCAACTGAAATGGGTACAGATAATCCATTTCTTCCAGATGCATTTGGAGCTACGAGGTCTTCAATCTCCTTACTCAGGACTGGAAGATTAGAAACTTGTAATCATAAAGTCTTCTGAGTCCAGGAACAACTTTTTTCAGTAAAGACTGCATTACTGCCTCTTTTAAGGAAGTATAATCTCCAGTACACAATGGAAAGTTTTTTATTTTATTTTTACACTTATAACACACTTCTCTGAAAGCTCAGGGAAGATTGACATGAGGGTCTCTCCTCATTTTATCCCCACAAAAGCCTTGTGCGATAAGCTTGGTTGGGAGAGAACAACTGGCCCAAAGCTACCTGCTGAACTTCAAGGGCACGTGGGACCTTGAACTTAGGATTCACCCCCCCACACACATACACCAGTCACACATACACATTCATATTCCACACTCCGCTTCCTTGTAATGGTAACTGCAACAACAGACGGAGAAGGCTGGATCCAGGAATGAAAAGCAGGGGATAAAAGAAGAGGGATGGAGGCCAAGACTGTGTTGGGAAAGTGATGGAGTGACAAAGAGGATGGAGTTGGGGAGAAGCACAAGGCTGAGCACAGGCAGAAGAGAGGGATGGTGCAAGATGGTACAAAACCAGAAAAAAGCAGAGAGATGGGGGAGGGGGGAGAAAGCAGAGAGTGACAGAGAAGTCACCTGTCAGTAGCTAGCAGAATGCAGGGAATGCTAGAGAAAGAGAGATGACATGGCACACGGACACAGAAAGAAGAAGGAGGAGGTGGATGCTTGGGGATTTGCTCCAAACCCTTTAAGAACCAAAGAGCGAACCTGGACTTTTAAGCTCTTTTCATATCTGTGGCTAAATGAAGCCTTCAGAGTCTAAAAATCAAACTCTGAAACACAGACACCTGATACCTCTGCTGGAATTCAGCAGCGCCACTGGACTGACCTACAATCCATCCTACGTAGGACACAAGAACGATACACAAGAAGAAACACATTTCTGATCAGCCTTGTGTCAAACTGGATGACTGTGCAGGACTCCCGTGCCACCCTCTCTCCCCACTCCTCGCCCAAAGGGGCTTCAGAATACTGTGATACCTTGTTGGGCTGCCCTATCTTACAACGCCTCTCCTCCTCATTATAAAAAAAAAATAAAGAAACCATGATGGATCCATCTACACCTAGTGGCAGGGTAACTGTTTTAAACAGAAATCAAAATCATATTACCAACTCATATCGTGTCCCCCACCTTTTGTTTTTCACCAGATATATTACTATATAATCATATCTACACCCCAGGCTGCAATTTCAGAATTGGGGGTCTTTTTTAGGTGGCAGCAACTGTTTCTCAGCAAGGAAGATTAAAACAAAAAACCCTTCCCTGGGCAGTACGTATTCATGCCATTGATTAACACCATTTGTTCAAGGGCTAAAAACACTGCAAAACAGGAAGAGGCTTTTCTTATATAAGAGGCAGAAAGGTGACTACATATTTCATTTTATAACTCTGTTTCTACAAGGGCTAAATGCTAGCCCTTCTTATAAAAATGAAAATTGGGGATTTGGAGAATTATTGCTTATCCAGGAAGGCAAATTCTCCTGCCAGCTAGAACAGGCAGTCCTCAGCTAGACCAAAAATATTCTTGACCTGGTGCTAGGACAGTTTCTATGTGCCAAATTCATTTCCTCCTACAACATCACTGTGCACATCCTTAAAAAAAAAAAAGAATATTCTGCTCAAAATATGCCGATACTGGGAAAAAGCAAATCAAGAGAAAGGAAGGGCCAGAGCTAAAGTTAGATTGACAAAGCATCAGAGTTGTTACCTGTCTAGGTGTGAGAGTTATCACCAGATATACTTTCAGAATCAAAATCTGTTTTGCTTTCAGGCCCTGTTTCGTTCCAGCTGTCTATGCAGTCCGAAGCAGCATCGTCATCTTCTATAGTAAGCTGGACCCAGTTTCCATTGCCAGCATTCGGTTTCCCTTCGCCACTCTGACTGCTTTGGCTGATGCCTTCAGATTGCTCTGAACTTTCTACGCTTTGCTTCCCAAGCTTCTGAGTCTCCTTGTGAGGTGGCTGAACTTCATCATGATTATTCTTTGGCCCAAGGGGCGTTGGACCTTTTGTTTCTGCACAGCCATCAGTGACACTCTGCTGTTGATACTGGTCTAGCCATTTTAAGGTCCCCATTCTTAGCGAGCTCCGGTTCTCCTTGAACCAGCGAACTATTTCAGTCCTGGTGAGTCCCGTCTGAGCTGCCAATTCATCATACTCCTGTGGGGAAGGCCACTGAGTTCTAACAAACATATTCTTGAGTAAGCGGACCTGCTCTTGGCTACTTGTAGCAAATGCCGTGGAGCGCTTGGGCAAAGAGGTTGGAGCTTGGGTGATGCTGACCTGCTCTGTTTGATTTACTGCACCATTGGAAGCAACCGGATCCTTATTCTTTATGCTTGATCCCATTGAATCTAAGACGGCTTGTTCCATATTATCCCTAAGTTTCCTTCGCTCAGCAAACCAGGATTCAACCTCTCTTCTGCTCATCCTGGCTTCGGTCCGAAGTCTTTCCAACTCACTGTGTGTTGGAAAAGAGCTCTTAAGGAAACTTTCTTCAAGGATTGCAAATTGTTTTTGAGTTTTTCCTTTGAACTGCTGGAAAATGAAATCTGGATATGGATTATAAGTATGGTCCTGCCGCGTGGTAGAAGGAGCAACATGGTCCTTGGCTACAGATTCACTCGTGATATGGCTAATTCCCCGTTGACTTCGGTAACGATAGTCACTGAACCACTTCTTAATCTCACTCCTTGAGAGGCCAGTGATCTCAATCAGCCTGTAAATTTCTGCATCATCAGGAAACTGGGTGACAATGAAGCTTGCCTTCAGGGCTGCAATCTGTTCCTTGGTTTTTTTGCGGTCGTTTGATGACGTTGGCAGTAGAGTAGATAGTGGCATCGTTGTTGTGCTTATTGGAGCAGCAGGTATGTTCTGCTTGGACAAGACCTCTGTTGGGATGACATGCTGACGCTTGGCTTCTGGGACAGTTAGCTGGTTCTGCACACTCCGTTTCTGACCCTGATTGGCAGCAACAGCAAGGGTAATAGGGGAAACATTTGATCCGTTTGACACTTGTGTCAAAACTAAGCCAGTCTGACTGAGTATCTGACAGGGCACAGCTGTCTGAATCAGTGGCTGTGGCATCTTGGCTGTGGCAACATGAGCTGGGAGAACAGCAATTGTCTGGTGTGTTGGCTGGATGGTGCCGTTGAACATCTTCTTCCTGGCTTCTTCTACCTCTTCAGGAGACCAGCTGATGCCGTGCTTCAAACGCTGAGTGGCAAACCAAATTCGAATCTGCTCTTCTGGGTGCTTGGATGCTGCTGTCAGCCATGATAATTCTGCTTGTGTTGGATATGGAAATTTGTTGAAGGAACTGATCATGGTGGCATTAGTGTCTAGTGCAGAATTGTATTTGGTACTATTCAGGGGCACGGGGACTTTGGGAACCAGGTTGATATTTGGCGGGAGCTGTACGGAGGGCATCACATGGGCCAGGATATCTTGGAGGACTTCTGCTCCATTGATACATGTAATTGGCTCAGTGGTATCTGGAAGAAGTTGAGGAATCCCATCAAGATGGTTGTCAATGAATGTTTTCTTGGCTTCACCTTTAGGCTTTCCTATGTTAATGATCTGCGTTGCTTTGTTTGTATCGCTTGTCCCACCAATGACCCCTTCGTATTCAGGGGTTTCAGCTACAGTCGGATTGCCTGTCACCTCAATTGATTGTTCTAAGACAGTCTGATTGTTGAGCTTGATTAACTTAAGCTTGAAATTGTTTTCTCCTGGATGGAGCTTTGTGTTGTGCTCAGATAAGGAATCATACTTTTTGGTTGTAAAGTTACATTCGGAGCATACATAGAGGGGGTTGAGAATCACATTGGGGTGTTGCGTGTCTATATGCTCTGTGAATTCATTCAGGTTCTGGGTGGAGAATGGGCAGTATTTACATTCATAACCACCAAGAGGTTTCCTCGTTGGGTTAGCTGGAGAAGACTTCCCCTCAATCACTTCACAGTCATTTTCACAATTATCCTTGCTGGCTGCCAAATTATTTCCTAAGTCCAGCTCTGGAGCACCAGGTGCCTTTCCTGTACTACAGTCCATGGAGTCACTGGACTCCATAGCTCCAGATGTTCGCACCATACATGGAGTTGTTGACTTCCGCTTGCTTGCCATGACCACTGTAGGAGTGCCCTTGGAAGCAACAGCTTCTCCTGTTGGACAGTCCCAAAGGTGTCCTCTTAGATGCTTTTAGTACTTCCAGGAGTAATGTTGCCCAGGCTGGATTCTAAAGGAGTCTAGTGCCATCCATGGCTTTTGGCTGTGACCCACCATACAAAATGGTCTGCATTACACCTGCATTATAAAACAAGACACACGCTGTTAAAATGTGCACAGCTTCCTTCTCCCTGAAGGCAGAAAGGGCAATCATGGTCTACTTTTAATTCTACCTTTGGAAAGGCCAAGAGTTATGAATTCCTCTGAAACTAAGTTGCCTCCCTTGATTGTTGAACGGCCAAGGGGAGTGGGTGCATTTGAATACTTCATGCTGGAGCATCTATAAGTACTTACTGTTATTGGTTCTGACTACCCTATGCCTTCCTGAAAGGAAAGGGGCCTCAGTTACGACCCTGTGGGCCAGACTTTCCCATGGGAATAGGATTCCACATCTGCTCTCATTTTCTTGTCTCCTTCTCCTTCTCTTCTCTTCCTCATGTTTAATCAATGGGGATTGGCAACTCAGGACCTTCTTGACATTGCTGAGCTTCAGCTCCCAACAGCTTTAGCCAGTATGACCAAAGGTGATCTTGGGAGATCTAGTCCAGCAACATTCAGATCCTGATTGATCCTTTAAGTTCTATAGGCAGAACAGGAAATTATTAGATTCTCTTTCTCCTTACCCACTTTATATTTTGTATCTGTGTAAAGTGCAGTGAACAGATGAATTATCATTTGAATAATGGTGTTGAGAAAGCTAAACAGCATTTGCCTTGGTTAGTAATTGGGTGGTGACTATCTGAGAAGTCCAGGGGGCTGTAGGATAGACGGGAAAGTCAAGAAATACCCTGGAAAAAAGCAGGGGCAAAAAATTTCTATTAGGCTGCCAAGAAAATGCATAGATGTGTCTCATCTGGTGTCACAATTGACCCAACAGTCACTTGACTTATTAAAAAGAAATCCATAACAATTGAGTCTAATGGAAATTCCTACCCCAGAATATTTTTAATTTATTTTGTAAAAACAATCCTAAAGGTCTTTAACCCAACCAAAATGCATGAAATATATCTGCCAGATGAGCTTCAATTCCCTAATGCTCTGTCTCCAGCCGCTTCTATTTATTTCAAATGAAGGGAAGCGTGTTAAGATTTGTTCTACCTCCCCACAACACGGCTGGTGACTACTTAACTATTAATAAATCAATAAAGAAACAGGGTTGTCAGAGGATGTTTTAACATGTTTTCCTTAATGTACTCTCAATGAGACAGAACTGCTGGACAAGGGAGAAAACTCTACTGGAGGGAACACCCTGATTACCAAGATACTAGTAAGTTTTTTGGAAAAAAAACTGTCCCGAGAAATTTAACTGTCCAAAACGTTTTGCATGAATGCAGTTTTGGCTTCATAAACTAGGCATATTAAAACACCAAGATAATATCCAATCCCTGGATAGGACTGCAATATTTAAAATGATTGTGGATATTGAACGTGCGGACCGTCGCATATCCCTACAGCCCATTTCCATATACATTTATTTTTCACTGGTGGATGAAGCAACTCAGAATTATTAGGCTCAAAAGGTTCTTAATGGATCATAAAACCATTTCTTATAGAGGTCTCAGGTTTACAAAGTCCAGTTAACTTTAGATAAATGGAATTCACTGCGCCTTGGCTGAATTGTGTTTACACCAACGGTTTTCAATCTTTCTGCTTCCAGGAAACTTATTTCGGATGCTGCCTAAGGTGGAACTTTTACACTAAATACTGCGGCAAGAACAGAATTGCAAAAGAACTTTTTCTCCCCCCAATAGAGTCTCAATGAAATAAAAATCACGGAGAAAAGCAAAGCAAAAAAAAAAAAAGATTGTCGGTGTCACAGTGCCCATTTGGTCGAGAAGCACACAACTTTACGAATTGTCACCCATTTTGCTCCTATTCAAAAAGGGTGTTAAAATTGCACTGTTTGAGAGAGTATCTCATTGTGTGGCATATTTTCTGGTTTTAATGGTGTTTTATTGTATTTTATCACTGATTATTACTGAGTTTAATGTTTTATTACTTTGTAAATGGCCAGAGTTGCTCTGAATTTGGACACATACAAATATTGTCAAAACAGCAAGTCAATACACACTCACCTTAAAACCCACAAATGCCCCAAGCTAGTCAGCTGTGTGTGTATGTGCACATGTGTGTGTGCGTGTGTGTACGTGAAGAGTTTCAAGGATGTGATTAGGGCTGGTCTTTGGGAGGCAAACTATTCACACAGCTAACTCTACCCCAATCAGGAAACACTCTGAAAATCTTGCCACCAAATTTTGGCCATTTTGAGGCTGAACATTGGCAATGCAATTGTCAGCCCTTCAAGGTAGACCAGACTAGGAAACCAAAGTCACGTAGGCCAATACTACTTTTATTGTAAAGTTATAGTAGTAACAGAATCTTGCAAGTCTGAATGTGCCTTCTCTCCCTCTCTTTATCTTCATGTGAACTAGTGTCAACTCTTCTAGGCAGTCTAGACAGGAAACCAAAACCATGAGTACTAATGCTACCTTTACTTAAGATTACAGTAAAAGAAACTTTCCAGTCTGAAAGGGTTTCCCCCCTCCCCTGCCTTTACATTCTAGCAAACTAGGCAGGGTCAATTCTGAGACTCTTTCTCCATCCCCATTCCTGCTTTGGACTCAGATATCTCTTATCAGACTTTTGTCTAGCTGCAGGTCTTCCTCCTGTCTCCCAAGGTTATCCTCACAGCCTATTACAACTAGGGAGGAGCTTGTCTGAGATGTTTTCATACGTTACATTCCTCCCCTGGACTCATGTTTATCTGACCGCTGCTTGGTAGCAGCTCTTCTCCTGTCCCTCAAGGCCATTCCCTCTGTTTTCTACATCAATTTAAGATGCTGTGGCCTGCAAGTGGGTTGCTGAAACTTCCTACTTCTAGACTTGGGCTTTATACTACACCTCAGCAGTTCCAGGACAATAAACCCTATAACATAATTTAGAAAAGGGGTCTCAACAGTCTGTTTCGAAGAAAACCTGAGCATGACAAGATGAGGAATACTCCAAAGATTTAATTGCTCACAAAGTTATACCTTTCCTCATTAACTAGGCAAGTGATACTGGGAGATGTCTTCCCACTGTGTCTCCTCATGTATTTTTCATTCAAAATTCATCCTCGGCGAGATGGACCAATGATCGGGGATGCTGAGGGTTGCACAGATCTTGGGGTTACAAAACTGGGGATACTCATTTGGTCATTCCTGGTTCTAAAGGCAAGAGGTCTGAAATGTCTTGCCTTAAAGGGCATAGCCTTTTTGGGGGTCTGGATATGTCAGGTCTTGCATGCCAAAAAGCAGGTAGGATCTGGGCAAAGAAAGAAGTAGAGCCAGGATAAAAGTTACATTAAATTAAAAAGCTCCATCATGTTTCCTGGTAAAACCCCTCAAAGATTTTGCTAAGAGGAAAGGCCTCCTTTCTTCATTTCATATTAGCTCACCCAACAAGGGAGGCCAGCTTATTAGTATCAGCTGCACTACATCCCTGGCTCCTTGCTTGAATGATTTCTAAAATAAAAATGTAAAAAAAAAAAAGGTCCTGTGTGACTTTGAGAAATGGAACTTGGTTTTTAAAGGGTACTAACTCCAAAGCATAGATAAAAACCATCTGATCTGAAATAAACCATCAATCAATTAAACTGCTACCAGCAACAGTGATTTGGCTTCTCTCCCAAGACACACTTAATTAAATTTTTGATCCAGAAGTTCCATGGATAGAGTTAGTGATATGGCTCATTATCATTCAAAACTTATCCTTCCTTTTAGCTAAGCTAGGAATGGGCTGGAAGCCATACGTGCTTAGAAGGCTGGACTAAGATAGAAGAGACCTGGGCTCAGATTTACATTCATCCACATCCATGAGCAGTGGAATCCATCATGGTTCCTCAACTCAAAAATTATGGAATGAGAATCTTCTTATGTGTGGCTTTTAAAAATATAATTACGAGAAAGATGGGACATCCATCTCCAGGAACAGCATATAAGGCCCACCCAGTTGCTTCCTAAGGTAAAGAGAAAGATGGCTCTTCTTCCTTGTTCCATATTTAGAAGCTAAGTCTTATTTCATCACTGGTGACAATAAAGCTTCTTCCATCATACCTGAGGGAAGCTTATTAAGTTCAGGGCATCCACAGGGCTCTGCCATACAACACCTCTTGACCACTTGCCAATACTCAGCTTTTATTACCCGAACTGGTTGCTTGCCTCTGCCATACGGAGAGCAGTTTCTGAGTATCATATGCTGGAGACTTCCTCAGAGTGTGCCTCCAAGAACTATATGCCTGGGACAAATGACAAAGACATCTTGCTGGCTTCAGCTGGATAGAGAATGCTGGACTATCTTCAGTAGGACTCTTCTTGTGTTCTCAAGACACCATAGAGCAATGTTTCTCAATCTTGGCAACTTGAAGATGTGTGGACTTCAACTCCCAGAATTTCCTAGCCAGCATGGTCTAAGTTGTGTCTATTTGGTCCCTACTAAAAAATATCTGCCTCATTTAAGTTGTTCTCCCCAAGTAGAATCATGTGAGATCTTGGTGGAAGTAAGAGAGGACAAGTGACTCCCTTTTACCCTAATTACAATACAGCCTGCAGTTTTTGGGTTTTTTTTAAAACCTTCTAAACAGCTTTGAATCACTACCAGCAGAGCAAGATCATGACTATTTATAGTCTAAGGATTCTTTCACAAACATTTTCCTGTGTGAAAGTGAGCACATGTTTACCCAAGTGTGAAGTTGGGTCATTCAACTGTTTACTTTGACCCAGTCACATGTATTTAGAAACCATTTCCAAATAGTATATATCTAGTATAGTATACACCCCCAAAAGAAGACAGGCCTAAATTTAAGATTATCTCTCCCCCCGTCCCCGCCACCACAGAAGAATAAGTAGGGGAAAAACGTGTGAGCCCAGACCCAAGCCCCATGCAATACCCAGCTTTCTCAGGGTACCAGCCTAAGGCCACTAATTCCAGTTGCAATCAGTCCAGAACTTTCCTTTCTTCCAATTAACACTCGTGTATGTTTGTACCTAGACAAAACTGATTATATGTGCCTTCAGAAGCCACAATCCATAAAAGAGTAG